AGCCGCCCTCCACTTGCTTCTGTGTATGTGTCCCTTTGCCCCAGCTAATTTACACTGCTGAACACTTTTCTTTACATGAGGTTCTGCCAACAAAAGTAACAAATTGTTGGTCTATGACATCACGCTCAGAGACATGGCAACCTTGCTGACCTCCACTCATTGTTTGCCCCTCATAAGGAACACACTTTGACACTGACGAGTGCCATCTTACTACAGGTAACTCTCCTCTCCTCTCCTCTCCTCTCCTCTCCTCTAAAAACATCCAGACAAAAATAATAAAAAATACAGACAACATATCAAACGTCCCAATTGGGACCATAACACACTGGACCACTGCTGCACCATAATAAAGGATGCCCATTGCTCTGTTCTCCATGCAGCCTTGGGACTCTCTGATCACTGTCTGGTTCATCTTCTTCTGACTTACAGGCAGAAACTAAAATCTGTTAAGCCTGTGGTAAAGACTGTGAGGAGATGGGCCAACAAGGCAAAGCTGGACTTACAGGCCTGCTTTCACTGCACTGACTCAAGTGTTATGGTGCAGCTACAGGACAGGATGAACTCTCTGACACTGTGACATCTTACATCAGTTTTTGTGAGGATGTGTGCCGGCAAAAACCTTCAGACAGCTCTGTCAAGCTAAGGAGGAGGCCTGCAGAACTGGGGACAGACTACTTTACAACCAGGCCAAAAACACATTGACAAAAGAGATCAAAGTAACGAAGAGGAGTTACCCTGAAAAGCCCAAACACTGGTTTCAGCCAACGACCATCATTGTGAAGGAACCTGCAGGACATCCCCAGCTGCAGGAAACCTCCCCAAACACTTTTAATACAAATGAGCTTAAATCTATTGTAGTGTTCTCAGGTCTGAAACAGAAACATTCCCATATACTCAGAACATTCCCTCACACTGTAAAAAGAAACTATTTGTTTTAACTTAAAAAGTAAGTATGCGGGCTGCCTTAATTTTTGATCTGAATTTGAGAAGGAAAATTGAATCATTACAAAACTATCTCAATTTGTTCAGTCAACTTGAAAATTTTAAGGCAACCAAGACACTAATGATTTTAAGTTAAAACAAATACCTTCTTTTTACATTGTGGGTGCTCTCAGTGTCATCTAGAACTTCACTGCCATTTACCATTCATATTCTATGGAGCAGCTCCAGAATTTATTCTCTATGACATCACAGATTTGAGTTTTAGCGCTCTAGTTTTTGGATTTAGGAGAGAGTTATTCATTATTACAAATATTTCTGGACTGTGTTAGAGCATAGGAATAACGTGAATTTTGAAAATGGGAAACAAAGTTTGATGCACAGACATTTCTATCATGGCTGTTTTCCTTGAATAATAATAATGAGCAATTTTGGGTAGAATAAGTGTCAGTTTCCATCGCACTAGTTGTGCTTTAGGGTATTCTGAATGGGGTATCCCTAGCAATAATCCTGTCTGTTTTCTGCACATACATCACAGTGTGGTTTGTATCTACTACCAAACAGAGGAGAAGCAGACTACAGTGGACAGTCAGAACTCTAGAAAAAATAATTGGTGCCAGCCTGCCCTCCATCCAAGACTTGTGCATTTCCAGAGTAAGGAAACAGGCAGGTAATCTTGCTGCAGACCCTTCTCTACCTAGACACAACTTGTTTCAACTCCTCCCCTCTGGTAGGCCCAAATTACCAGGCACAAGAGCAATTTCTTTCCACGTGGCATCAGTCTAACGAACAGTTAACACCCTTCATTTACTGTAAAAATCCCTGTAACACCAAATATCCACTGGACTTCAATGTGCCTGTAAATGCCATATCTTTTACAGTTTATACACACTATTTTTAACATGTAAATATCACCACTCTCAATATAGATATAAGTAGGCTGCACATCCAACTACCAAAACACCAGAGTCAAATTCCATGTGTGTGTGAACACACTGACATGGCCATTAAAGCTGGTTCTGATAAAGATTTACCATCAGTAGTGTATGAAAATTATTATTACAAATACCCACTGCTGTCACATCATTAGTACTGGACTAATGCTCTGCTTGGATTGTGTGTTTAGGAGCTGTCTATCTGCTGTCTGCCTGCTCTGCTGCAGACAATAAAACCAGCTCAGTAAGCTCACCGTGGGAAACAAACTGTCAAATGATTGTGTTTAAGCTTAATGTGTACTGCTACACAAAGCTTCTTCATTTGACAGACTAAGTGCAGCAGCTTGTAGTAAACATGCTCATCTGTACAGAAATGTATTATGTTAGTTTTTCATTAGATGAAAAAAAGAATAAGAATTGGACCACAGAGACTCTGCCATGACCAGCAGAAACCTGAGCAAGTCTTTACCCTCATAAAACACATTAACCTACCCCAAACAATGGAAACTAAAGATTTCACAGTAATTTTGAAAAGAAAAAATTATAAGTAACAAAATCCAGTTCCTTCTTTTCTGCAGGATTTGATACAAAAGTTGTGTATTTTGTATGAGCACACACACCTATGTCTAAACACACAATTGAAAGCTGGCATGTCATAAAGCCTTAAAGGCACTGTATGTAAGAATGTGGCCAAAACGGTTACTGCCGCTAATGCTATGTACTGGGACACTGCTAACGCTGCTACCGGGATACAGCTGAGGAGAAGCCGGCTGCTAATGCTATGTACTGGGACACTGCTAATGCTGCTTGCCGTGCTGCTGTAGCTCAGTCGTAACTGTAACTGATGCTGAGACTCTACTGACTGCGTGACTGGTAGACGGCGGTGGATGGCGCAACAGGCCAAAACACAAACTCAAAACATAAACATGATTTGCGGACCGTAAAAAATTTTTTTAAATGCGAATATTCTGGCTGTACTATTGTTGTCGGTGAGATCAGTATGTTATATGAACATTATTCCTTAGTCTCTGTGACATATTAGGAGGATTTTATGACTATTTGCTTTATATTTCTTACATATAGCTCCTTTAAGTGTGGGTGGGATTATCAGCAACACTCAACCTCTTATCTTCTATTAAACTCTATGTATAAACTGTGGTGTAATAAAGAATAGATTTGTGTAAGAGCTTGTTACTGATGCATCAGACTCTCTTATTATAACTGAGTATAACTAATAAAGGCAAGACAGCCATTGGTACTTCCTCAGTGGAACCCAACTTTGGGTTTTGATCTCCAAAGAGAAAGATATTAGGGGCTTCAAGACATAGTTAGTGGGATTTCTTTTTTTTTTTTAATGCTGTATTCATTTGTGTTGCAATTTGGGTGACTTGACCCTTTAAATATAAAATCCCCACCACCTATCCACTAGTGAGCACCAGGACAGAGCACAGGAGAAAATGCCACGGTAATCCCTCATCCTCCTCCCCTCAGTGTCTGTACTTTACAGGTGAAGGAGGATTATGGTCCTGATAGCTCCCCAATGGCCTCTGATGCCTCTTCATGGAGCTGCACGAGGCTAAGTATAAAGGCAGGCAGAGCAGAGCACCAGGAAACAGAACTACGGTCACAATCCAGGAGTGACTGGGACTTAACACTACTACCTTTTACAGTTTACAGATCTACACTGTGGGTCCAACATGCAAAAACAACTAAATCCTGCTTATTAGTGGGGAATGACTGAGTCTGTGTTGTGTTGGAACTTATTTATGCAATTAATTCCATCCAAGTTAAAGGGGGGCCCTGATTACTGCTCCTGCTGTTATTTGTTTTAAAAATGACAGTGGGGAAAAAGTGGTGTATGGAAGCAAATGAGAGCCATAAGTATTTAAATCTTAACAGCCACTGAATACTTAATTATTGAAATTTAAACACCACTGAATTCATAACATTGATATACATATATATATATATATATATAATTTATGTATATTTAGTTTTTAGATTTTTTTCAGTGGGAATTTTCAGATCACAGTTTAACCTATTTGATATAATTAGCCCGACTCTATGTTTTCCTAATTCTCTCTTTGTTTTTTTTTTGGTCTGAATTTGTGAGCATTAAAAAAAATTCAAATTTTGATGCTAAAAATCAAGAAATTTCATATTTTAATTTCAAAGTGGTGAATTTCGAACAAATAGAAGCAGATGTGGTTTTTAAAGTAAAATATTTCAATGTTATGAATTCAGTGGTGTCTAAATTTAAAAATTAAATTGTCAGTGGTTGTTAAAATTCAGATACTTATGTCTCTTATTTGATTCCATAAATGTTAGGACATGTGTGTAGCTTTGCTGAATGTAGTCAGAAACAGAAGTCACTTCCAAAGTAAAAAAAGAAAAATGGAAAAATGCACCACAGTTACTGGATGTTGTTCCTATAACCTCAGTTCAGTCAGTAGGTGAATACGTCTCTTTAACTGGGCACTCCAGTAATTACATATTTCACTTCATAAACCTAAGGCACTCACAAGAGACAGAGTAAAAACGAAGAATAGTCATGTCTTGGTAACAAGATGTAACAGCAATTTTACAGTAGCTGGTTTGAGTCAAGATAAGGAGTCGCACGTTCTGCGTCTTGTCTTTTTGTGTCTCCTTCCTTCATCAGAATAAAGGAAGAAAAAAGTTCTTTAAAAAAGAGGGGAAATCTGTGCAGCAAAGAAAGAGATATTCTGACTTTTAGTTTCTGGTATAGATCAAGCTTAAAAAAAAATCAACATGGATTCTAAATTCCCATAATGCAACTAACATAATACATTTGTCTCCAAGCCTGAGGTCAGATAACCCTGATGACAACACATTTTATTTTCGCAGACTTGACCCAAGTTCCTCCAGAGACACAGAAGACATTATACAACTTTTTTCACATACTGAACCATGACCACTTCATCTTTAGACTGTCACTATGTAAGGAGCTCCTCTCAATAAACAACAAACTGACTTTGTCTGTTTATCATTCCACGGTGAGGAACTATGAACTAGAAAATGCTTTTATTTTAGCCTGGACACTTCATTTTTAGAGTGTAATTTTCCTTTACCAATATGTCAGTGTAGTGTGTGTGCAGCTGTTGTTACCTTTGCAGCCACAGATGAGCTGGGTTTCTCCAGCAGATCCCACAGCTTCTGTCTCTTGTCAGGACAGCAGCCGTGCTCGGCCTCATCCCCGTCCTTCTCCCTCAGTGTCTCTGCCTCCCTCCTCAGCTCCTCATTCATCTGCTCCTTCTTCTGGTGGTACCGCGCCTGGCAGCACGACTCCAGGTAGATCTCATCGATTCCCCAGTAGTCCAGCTCCTGGCCAAAAGAGAGGGCACACATCTCCTCCATCATGTGCAGCTTCCCAGTTCTGTAGAAGTTGAGGATGGAGGAGAAGGCCACTGGGTGCCGGTCAAAGAAGTACTCATTCTCACTGAGGCTGTAGTCATCACAGATCTCCAACAGTGACTCGTGGGTGTTGCAGTCTCTTAGCCGTCCCAGACGGGTTCTGGGCAGCCGGTCCAGTGTTCTCCACAGGACTTCATGTGTGAGACCTCCAACATTAAGCCTGACCCGCCGAGAGCGGGCCTTAATGCGGATGATGTCAATGGGCTCAGGGGGGAGCACTGGACCTGCGGCGGGCCGCGGGGTGACTTTGGGTGTGCTGAAGGTTACTCTGTCTGTCATGGTTGCGCTGCGTGTGCTGCTGTCTTACTGTCGGAGTGGGTTTCCTCAAACAGGTTGCAGTGGTGTGTGTGAGTGTCTGGAGCCTGTGAGGCTCAAAGAGATGATGATGGTGGTCGGTTGGGGGAAAGTTGCCCAGACCCACCACGCTCACCTGGCTGTGTTCACACCACTAGACTCCTGGTTAGATCCATGGCTGCAAAAACAAGACATCATATATTATTCAAGTCTGAGCGGAAGTAAATTATATCATACCATTCTTCTAAATTACCTCTGGAGCCTCTTTGATGACCACAAGATGTGCAGCTATCAAACAGCTGTAAAGATAATGAGTTATACAATCACAGTGTCACTGTTGCAGGATTACCTTCAGGGGCCCCGAGGACCAAATGAGATCCTGGCCCATGCTGATCCTCAGCCATAGACTCATCTTGCCTAAAGCGAAAAACAACTAAATCTGAGCAATTTATGGTTCTATGTCTTGTTCAGGGACACTTGGACATGAGAAGCTGGAAATCACAATACCAACCCTACAATAAATCTTTTCAATGCAATGTGCTGATGTACATTTACTAGGAGCATGAAACATAACCACAAAACTGAATTAACAGAATGTCTTGATTGCAACACAGTGCATCTCTACAGGACAGGGTGTCAACATCACATAATAAAGCAGGGCCCACCTTAAAGCTGCTTTTATAACAAAATAACTCAATGTCATATTTGCTGAAACAGTCACTACTTCCACACAGTATAAAATGAGACAGATAGTCCTCTGCTTCCTGGTATTGCTTCTAATGCCATTACCACATGTGAACGAAAACAACCAATCAGAGCCATGGTAATAACATTATTATTACCTTAAAGGCTAGAACTGTGATGTTTAACTGTATTCAGAATTTTATTGTGAAATTCATGCAGGTAAATATAGGCTAGTAATTTTACAAAAGTACACAGTAATCACAGTATCACAGTAATCCAAGTAATCCAGTGTACATAACTGTAACATAAACTGTGAATTTATAGTTAAATACAGTAATTTTACAGGAACATAGTGTTTTATCACAGTAATGTAATAGGCTTTAACTGTGAGATTACTACTGAATGTAATATTTTTACAGAAGCATACTGCTACATCACAGTAATATGCAGGCATAACTACTGTGAATGACAGTATACAGCTCTCCTTTCACAATAATTTGCTATAAAAATAATACAGTAATTTCCCGTGAAAGTGATACGACTAGTAGCCAGTAATTTACTGTAAATATACAAATATTTTACAGTGTAGGAAGCGCTGATTAAATGTGAATCCAGAGTCTGTTGCCTACTTCTCACCTGAAATGTTTTCAGAAACATAGCCTATTTTAGTTTACTGTTTAGCTGTAAAATGAGAAAGTCTCTGACTCAGCCACCATGTTGAATACAGTCAAGCTGAAAACTAAGGAGGGCTGCAACTGTATGAGTTTCATGGTACGATAACGGTCTCAGAAAATCTCATGCAGTTGCAGCAGTTTAACGGTATCATGATATTACACAATTTATATTATTATCAGTCAGAATAACAGAGGGGTTATTGTTGCTAAAACAAACGTTTTATTACTATAACTGAAACTTAAAACCATTTTGTTAATGAAAGCATGAGTAAAATAGTCTCTGCTTTGAAAATTGCTAAAATAAAAGGGAGATTATTTATCCAGTTTCATCTTAGATCAACTTTGTTATCACAGCATACCGTAAAACCAGTATATCACTGCAACCCTAAAACTAAGCAATGCTCACCAGCTGGACCAAATTTCTAATTTTACAGCTAAAGTGTACACTAAAATATGTCTCTGAAAAAATTGAGAAATAGGCAATGCATTAACAAAATCTTGATTAAGGTTTGCTCAATGCTGCAAATGTCATTAAAAGCACACAGAGTAGGAGGAGGAACATGATTTTTTTACTGACTATTTGTCTCATGTACCTCTGTGTGAATAATCATGACAGTTTGAGGAAATATAACAAGAAGTTATTTTCATAAAAATTCCCAACTGTACCTTTAAGGCTTTAATCACGTCAGCTACTATACTGCCTCTCACTAGACAATGTAGAGGAGAAGATGGAGGAAGAAGGGGTCATGGGGACCAAGCAGCTCATTTTTGCCCTTGGGCCCCCTTACGGGTTAATCAGGCCATGCCCACTGAATGCTTACAAAGGGCAGAGCTAGGGAGTGGGTGGACTGGATCGGTCAAATGTGAGAGCACAGCCTGCATGTTCAGAGATTGGAACTGCAGAAGCTATGGATGCCACATCTATATAGTGCACTTTAGAGTCATATCATACACTGTTTGTCTGCATATGCAAGAACTTTCCTGCCAAACTGTACTTGGCTGGCACATACTGTAAATTACAGCTCAATATCTATCTATCTATCTATCTATCTATCTATCTATCTATCTATGGCTTGTTTTCCTTATTAGACAGGGACTGCTGTTGGAATTAACTGTAACTTACAGGCTGTCAGACAGTAAATTATTTTTGGTTCAGTGAGTAGCAGACACACAACACCAAATCAAAATGGCAAATCTGAGTATCTCCACTGGGAAATATTACATTGTGATGTGTTAGCCCTGATATTAAACCCTGGAGACTCATAAAAAAAACAGGAAACTTTGACATTTTTAATTAGAAAGAATCATCTAATTAAATCGCTGAATACTGAAACTGTATATCCTCAAACAGGTTTTCTTATGCAATGAATACCAATAGGAATCCACTCTCAGATAATGGATGGAATCTAAACTGCATTTTTTTTTTCACTCGGAAGCCTTTCTGCTGTTGGACTATAAAGGCTTATGTTGCCATTAGAAGTCCTCTGACTGCGGGACCTTTATCTGATTGTGTAATGGAGTTCCACAAATCCCAGTAGTGGCATTAGGCTTCGTCTCCCCTGGCTCAAGTCTGCCTTAGTTAATTATAGACTGTCTATCTTCTCCTGGGACACTCATAGGACACACGGCTACGTCAGGAACCAAGCTGCTACATCACCACTAAAAATGGGTCTTATCCAGTCCTCCCCCTCCAGAATAAAAGACAGTTCATTTCTGCAACACAAACATCTACATTAATAAACTGACTCTACAGTTTATGTCTCTGCTTCCTTAAACCACGATTCACTTAGCTGTTTTAAAAAACAATTATGTGTATTGTAGATTGCATGGCTGTCTGTTTTTTGTTCCCCCCACTTTCTTTTTTAAAGCAGACCAAATGCAGAGACAGTTGATTCCTGCACAACATAGAATAAAAGTCCAAAGTGAGAGCGTCCAATTCGTTGTCAAGAGATTAAGGAGACTCAGGCTTAATAACCCGTGATTATGCATCTGAGCCCACAGCAAGTTTAAAAAGTACAGCTCCACAAAAAGTGGATACAAAGTATATATGAACCAGCAGAAATCCAAGTCGCCTCGGTTCTATTCCATTTCATCCAATTAACGTCACCAATAGCAGCCTGCCACTGTTATTCATATATATATATATATATATATATATTAAAAAAATAATAATAATACATTAAAGGTGTAAAGTAAAAGAATGTCCATGTGACCCACCTTTGTGGAAATTGCTGATATTTCGGAAAAGCCGAACTCTTGCCCCTTCCAGGAGGTCCCACCATAGCACCCAGTTAGTTATCCCAGCTGCTCCGTCTCCCCTCCTGCCGCTGATTCCTGAAGCCTGCAAGAGCACAGAGACCGCTGGAGATCCACATTTTGGCAAAAAGAAAAAAAAGAAAAGAAATGAATTAATAAGTCTGTCAGCGCAGGAGAGGAAATGTCCCGGGAAACGCAGCGCGGAGAGCCATGGGGAAACACACAGCAGATAGAGAAAGAGGAGTGTGAAGCAGCTGGGCAAGAGAGAGAGAGAGCGAGAGAGAGAATGAGAGAGAGCGCTAATTGGATTGAGGCGTTCAGCACCAAGGACAGCTCTATATCAACAGCTTCTTTCCACCTGAACTCCTGCTTACAGCCAAGCTCTATTCATTTCAACCCATTAATAATACATCTGTTTTTAAGTCCGTGTAAAGCAAAAATAAATATGTGTAATAAGTTTGTCACACCACAGAAAAATATGTTACTATGCACCAAGCCAAATTTTAATGATTAAAAAGTCGCCAAGTTCAAAATAATTTAAAATGAGCAGTATTCTCTGCTCTGAGATGCTGGGGCGTGTCCGCTGAATGCGCTGTAGCCACGCCCACTTCCAGGAAAGCTGCAGCCTCTTTTAATTGTAACACTACAATGGATGCTCCATCTAGCAGGTGGGCTTGTACAGCCAGACATTAACTTCCAGAGCCAGAATCAGATTCGGAGACAGGGGACAGTGACCTGCCTGAAAATCAGCATTATTCTTCTCAGTCTTATTATTATTATTTCAAACAACAGAAAAACTCAGTGGTTCTAGGTCTTATAATGTGAATGGGCGGGGCTTATCCCAAGCTTGCTCCATTGCACCATCGAGCAGTCTTTTAGCCCCGCCCAAAAAATCCAGGACACAAAAACAGTTTAACTGTTTATCAGGAGTTATACTCTTGCAGTAAACTCTATGCTGTAGCCTACACACATCGCCTACGCTGTTGTGAGCATTTATACTTGTGCTGTGGTGTGTCTTTTTCCAAACCACTAGTCACTACACTAGTGCTGTTAAGTTTAGTTGATTCAAAACACACCCAAAACACACATAGGCTTTAAAGAGACAATTTCAAACACAAGTAGCTAGACAAAGTGGCTTCACTACAACTCGCAATATTCACAGACAAACACCTGTCTTTATCCGAACACATTTTCCCCACAAATACAACATGCTAACGTTATTAGCACAAGCCTATGGTATTTTACATTGTATAAATTAGCCTACTAGCTAGCGAACTTTTCCTCTTCTCATAGGTTTTGAAACCAGGGACAACAGCAACATTTAACAAAGGTAACATTACAAAATTGGCTCCATTACAACTCACAAGGATCACCAACAAATCAACTGTCTTATACTAAAAACACGTTTTCCAAACAAACATGATAATACTATTAGCACAAGCCTATGGAATTTTACATTGTATAAATTAGCCTAGTGACAAGCAGAGATTTCCTCTGCTCATATGAAGCCAGGATAAATCCCGAATTATAAATCCCTGAAGGATACATCACACACAAGACATGAAATGCTATTTTTGTGGAGGCTTTATTATCTACAAAATTCATTGTTTTTATCTGTGAAATTAAAGTAAATAAAAGCTTCATTTCCACTGAGGGAAATTGTTTCAGTTTACAAAAATAAACAAATAAACGTGTAGTTACATTTCCAGGGAGGTACATGTCAGGGTACAGCGTAGGTTATGGGGTAGACTCTATGTGGAGGCAGATGCCATAGGTATGGTGTCAATTCAATGCAGGAGTATAAATTCTGCCTAAGGGTTCATTTATGCTCGATGTTAGACATGAAGACCGAGACAGACGATGTCATCTGTACTCTGCATTCATATTATCCATATTCCTGCATGTTCTCTGAGAGTTTACAGATAAGAAACGAAACTGAGGCAGTGTAGTGTAGTTCAAAACAGACAGGATTATGGAAGATGGAGATGGTGAAGAAATTTAAATGATGGTGGAATGTAATGAATCAGTAACATAGTGAAAAGAATTGTCCATCCGCATGTTTGTGTATGTGCATAATTGCTGCACAGACTACCACTGTCTACAATGCTGCCTCCATTGAAAGGTACAATATTATGACCTCCTCCACTGTTGCTTTGTTTGTTGTTGTGTGAAACTTTTGATTTCGCCCTCTAGTGCCATCTATTGGCTGTATCTGTGCCATTTTATATAGTTCCTAGCCATAGTTTTCAACTGATTTCAAGTGTTTTCTAACTTTTTTTTGTTTGTTTGTTTTGTATGTCTCTATAACCAGGAAATATATGTTAAAGGGTAACTTTGGTATTTTTCAACCTGGACCCATTTAACCCTAACCCTAAACCTTTTCTCATGTTTTTGGGTCTATAAGTGGCTAATGGCAAATTAGTCCAGTATTGAGTGAGACTGCTGCAACTGGCAGCAGCAAAACGGACTGCAATGTAACCACTTATGGCAATTGTGCTTCATCAATTTACATCCACTAAAAGTGATTGGTTTTGCCCCTGACAGAGTCAGATTGTTATTCAAAGCATCTGACAACATTATGGAAAAGATCCCTGCTGAGATAGACCATTTTTTTAAAGAGTGAGATCCTTTTTGTTTAACCAGAAACAGCCCAGAAATGGCCGTCGTCAAACCCACCAGACTCCATTTAAATAAACAATAATTTTATCATTATAAAACTGATATCATTCAAAGTCCACAAAAACAAAATAAAACTCATAACAGCCATCTTGGTTCATTTTCCACCATTCCATCAACCACCAACTCTGGTTTGGCTGAAATAAAATCTTAATTCACCCAGATACGTAGATGTGCAAATATGCTGGCTTTATACACACTAAAATTACAGTTTATTTAAATGGAGTCTGGTGGGTTTGGCAATGGTGATTTTGGGGGTGTTTCAGGTCAAACAAAAGGATCTAACTGCTTAACACAAATGTCTTTTTCTGTAAGGATTCTTTTCATAATGTTGTGAGACACTTCAAATAACAATCTGAGCCTGTCAGTGGCAAAAACAACTGGACATACATTGAGGATGCGCAATTGCCCCAAGTGATTACATTGCAGCCTGTTTATCTGCTGCTGTCTCGCTCAGTACTGAACCAGTTTCAAAAATTGTTGCTCCCAGTAGTCACTTGGACACAAACGTGCGAAAACAGGGTCCATGTTGAAAAAGTCAGAAGTTACCCTTCAAGGCCTAAATAATGTTTTGTTTGTTTGAATTTGATTAGAGCATGTATCAAAGAAAGGTAGTAGAAGCAAGATGCTCACAGTATCATTATTAGAAGATACTGAAAAAAAGCCACAGCCCCACAGCTTTCCAATTCCAGAGCAGTTACAACTTCCTCTCAGGCTCTGTCCCCTCTTCTCTAAATTCCAGACTCTAAAAGTGCCTTTAAAACTGAGGGATGACTACGGTGGTACATTCGTGGCTTTCCACAAAGAGACAGTGCTGGGGAAGTTACTTTTAAAAACATAACTCTACAAGCCTCCAGTCATTTCACATTAGAGGTGATACAGCAAAGCTATCAAGGGGAAATCTAGTTTGGTTAACTAAAGCTATCTGGAAGAAGTTCAAACTACTTTGTAAGAAACTGATCAAAATGACTATGTACATGTGAAATTATAACTAAATATAATACAAATAAATCTGGTGATAACATAAAATGCCACTGTAAAAAAATGCCCACCATTTAACGAATTGACATTCCCTTACTTTACCCTGAAATGCTTTGGTTTTGTGGGCCTGCTGCCGTCAGAAACTGGAGTCCAGGTGGGGGGATAGACCTCTTTTAAGGCAGACATTCTGACATGTCATAGTAGGAAAAGCACAGATGTATTCAATAACATTAATGATTTGACCACATGCATTCTCACCTCAGATGGCCTAATGTTATCAATAGGTTTTCTATCAGTTTATTGTTATTTATTAGAAATATTATCTATAGCCAGTACCCTATAGATCTTGCTAATCAAATTGGATATAGTTCTGATGTTCATCATTACAGTACCAGAATTTCAACGTGGCTGCATAAATCAGTTGAAAGACTTAAGTTTGCATAAAAAATAGTAGAACGTCTCTCACCCCCCTGAAAGGTGCAAAATGGGTCAGTCCACCCCTGCACTAGGATTTGCCTATACAGTAAATGCAGCTAGAGGCTGCTGGAGAGTGTGACTGATTATGCTGCTGGAGCACTAACGTACACTGTAATGTCATTCACCAAGAAAGGGAAATCAAGGCTGAAAAGAATAAAAGAAAGGAAAAGGGAAAGAAAGCAAACTGACTTTGTAAAAGAAATTTTCAAACGGTGCATGGAGAGACATTGATCAAGAGAGGATTGTAGGAGAGGTGCCCAGTTGCTCACTGAGCAGAGCAGGCGACCCATGTAGCCATAGGCCATAGGTTTGATTCCAGCCCCTGGCCCTTTGCTGCATGTCTTCCCCTCTTTCTTTCTCCCCCCTTTACACTTCAAACTGCCCTGTCATTGAAGACAAACCCCCCCCCCCCTGATAATCTTTTTTTTTAAGTTATATTTATTGAATCGAGGATCAACTCAATACAAAATAAAGGACATGGAAGATACAAACCTCTTTATACACATCCGCTTATATATATGCCCTTCACAGTCAGGCCCGTTTGCGCTGGTGTTGGCAACACGTGCACTGGAACCTGAACATGTGTAGGAATGTTATGTTCAGCGATCAGCGAATTTAGCAATACACTACCAACATAAAGAAAGGAAATAATGAATAAATTAAATCATTAAAAAATAAAAAACACAAACAACAAAACAAACAAACAAAAGAGGAGGTTTAGTTTCCACAACCAAGCAACAAGGTCATAGATGCAATATGTTTTAGGACAGTAGTTTCCAACTGGTGGGTTGTGGTCCAAAAGTGGGTCGCAGGTCCATTCTGAATGGACTGCAAGTGACTCGCAAAAGTGGCAAGTTTGTCAAAACATAGAAAATAAAAAATAACCAACAGAGAGCTACACAACAGAGACAGCAAACTAGCTCAATGACATGGACAAACACAAGTAGGACGCTCAATAAGTTAAACTGTGTGTACCTTGAACTGACGACTAAGGAGAAATCTGGCTTAGGAGAGGTCTCCAAGTCCTTTCAGAAGAACCCTCAAGGTGAAAATCTAAGTTTCTCCAGT